GATTAACTTCCCAAACAGTTAGGTGGGAAAGAGGAAGAATCATGCTAATATGGACTGAAAAAAAAACACAAAACAAGCCTTGGTGATGCAAAAGACCTACAGAATAATCCTGGATCTAAATCCAAGGACCCTGGGAAGCAAGATTAATACAGGTAGGGTTTCATTATTTTGTTTACTGATGCATAAACTCCTGCTAAGTGAATATTTATTTTATAGAGAAAAAACCTGCAAAGCCTGTCCTTATGCAATCAATAAGTTACCTCTAATATTTGGCCCTCAAGAGTTAGATTGTAAACCCAGAACAAAACCCCTGAGAATGGCTGTGCTTATGTTATGAAAAGTCTGAGAGGGTTAATGTCAGGGACCAGAAAACCGAACAGACTACTGCAGCTTCCAGAATAATTTTCTTTGTAACACCTGTACGACAGAAATATGTGCAGAGATGTTCTAATCGGGTGCAGTGGCTTCTTATAAAGAGAATTTTCAGGGCACAGAGAGGCACTGTGTGACATAAGATCCCAAGGAGATTGCAGGATGGCAAACCTACTAGGGCCATGTCCATACACTGTGAGAGAGACGGAGAAATAAACTATTCCTCTCCTTTACCTCTTTCCAAAAGTACTTACAGGGGGCGTGTAACATAAAATTTACCCTAGTTTTTGAAGTCTCTTTTCTTGGACTGACTACATAAGAAGATATGTGTGGTCACATAAGGGGAGAAGAGGTAGGTTGATGGATGATGTGGAGAGTGTGGTGCTGTGAGTAAAATGAGTAACAAGATGTGTGACTTGAGAGAGTTTTACCTGAGTCTGAGAAACCTGAAAAGCAATGCATTATAATTTTGCCTGCTATACCGTGTTGGTAAATTATTCAATAGACATGCTGAATTTTATTAATATTTTGTAACATTTGCATGATTTTAGCATTCTTTTGATGTCCTTGTGTCCTATAAGTGATCATTAAAAGACAACCAATGAACCCAACTCCTTAATAAAGCTTTTCCCCATTTCAAAACACATCTACTGTCCCATAAACTTTTGTTATTTCTTCCTTTTTATGTAGAATAGAACTGGTTATATATTATGGAAATAGCTTTCTTGCTACCATTTAGTTGCATTGTTTACCTTGAACCAAGAATTAAAATATTTTTTCTGTGAAGTTAATACTGTCCATTACCAGTAGAACCAGGAGTTCTTCCTGCATTAGGTAGAGTGATATGAAGCTCTTCAACACATCCTCTGACCAGGTTTCTCATTATAGCCTACATTCTAATATTCTGTACTTAACCCATAAAGGCATTTCCTATATAATTTTCTTTATCCTGTTCTCTTTCTGCTTCTTACCAAGAGTGGAATGATCAAAGGCATAATACATTAATAGTAATTCTGGCACAACTGATAGTTTGAGAGATTGGATGCAGCCGACATCTGAGCACACAAAATTAGTGATTGTCTGTAACACTTATTTTATTCTTTCTGGATCCAAACTAAATTTCATTAATTTTCAAGGGAGAAATTCTGCTCAAAAAGAGTTTTTGTTAAGAACCCAAAGGGAGAAAAGAATAAGATGGGGAAAATTTAGGCATTAAAAAACAATAACTGTGCAGTTAAGTGACAGCACAAAATCTGTTAAAACATACTGTAAAAATTTCAAGACCATTCCAGGGAAATTCTAAACTGCAATTAGGATTTAATTTTTGCAACGTTGAAAGGAGTTAGGACTGCTTTTTTAAATCAGGCAAATCATCAGGGAAAAAAGTTATCAGTGGTGCTTAGAGAAGGTGCTAGAATCTTGCTATGATGTGAGGTTATCCCATGAGAGGGAGCCACAAATCAGCTGTTCCCAATCTTCACCCCAGTTAAGGGAGTGCATGGGGCTCAGTGACATTGAGGTTCCTTGCTGCCTACTGGGGAACACGGTCACCCTCCCGCTAATTTAGCTGCAAATACTCTCTGCATGGTTTGAGCCTGTGCTCCTTGCCCTGTCCTGCACTGCCATGTGCATGCTTTGCTCACCATGACAAAACAGACCCAGCAAACTTACCAAGCTAAGTTGTGGTGACTCTGTGCCCCACCGCCGACAGCTGGACCACTGACCCAGCAGAATTAGCTAAGCTGCAAGGTGTGATAAGTGTTGAGGTGTGGGACCTTTTTTCAGGTGAGGCTCCACAGGGATGGGAGGGAGAGGGAGTTTTCCCTCCCCACCCCCTGTCCTGACAAAGGATGGCAGGATGAGGCAGATGCTCACCACCTACACCCCTGGCTCTGAGAAACCCTCTGGAGAACCTGCTGGGCCCAGCACACACTGAGTGCCTGGGGAAAACCTGTGAAAGAAATGTGCACCAGTCCTCAGGGAAAAAGGGTAGACAGATATCTTGTGAGGGTAGGTCACTGTCAGACCTGTCCTGCCTAGCACAGTTCAGGAGATGAGGCACTGTAGAGAAAGAGGAGGATATGGCAGCAGGGTTTGGGATGGGAACAGCATGCGACACACTAACTGAGGAAGTCTGGTGTAATGAAATATCTTCAACTCTGATTTCTCCCTTCAGAACAGTATCACTTGCATATACCTATGAAGCAATTCTGCTTTGCAGCCATTTACTGGGCTCTCCAGTCCAGTTTCTGATGGTTGCCAGAGAAGTAATTTTTTCCAGTTAGAGAAAAATGGAAATATTTGAATGTATCCACTTTCAAAATCACGTAACAGAAATTCATTAAGGCTGTTTTCCGAGAGCAGCTGTCAGCTTCCTAACTCCATATTCACTTCTGTTGCTTTCCCTATATAAATATATGGAGATAAAAATAGTGCACATGGAATTAGGCAGGGATTTCTTCACCAGTGACATTATGATCAGGAACATATGTGATGTAGATGCACCGTAAGATGACCAGCTGTGCTCTCAGTCTGTTCAGTCTGTTAAGAGGAGTAAACCTTCAGCTTTAGGCATTCTTGGGTACAGATTGTGATGTAATAAGATATGTGGAAGAAAATGAAATATGAAATTGGATAATGTATTTAATTTACTGTGCTAATAGGCAACAGTCTACTTATGATGTTGCCAAACAAACATATTTAATATTTTGCTATGGTGAGTTATTCTGGTGGCAAATTAGTTTTCAGAGAACAGGAAGGGAAGCAAAAATGTAGAAGTCAAAGCCTGCTGCTCTTTATCACTTTTAAGGCAACTAAATAACTAGAAATGTGTCAGAACAGACAATCTTTTTTATTTTTCATAAGAAGCCAGTTTTCCCCCTTTCTTTATCTCAAGCAGATTACTGTCATCACCATTCTTGCCAACAAGCAGACTCATTGGAATATTTTTCAAAAATGAACACAAATATTGGAAGAAAGGAGGTGGAATGAACTAATTATAAGCATATGGATGTAATGTAATGATTTCTGCAGTGTACTGTTCAAACATATAAGGGTCTGGAATTGAAACACACTTGGGGAATGAAGCTGCTTTAAGAAATTATCGGTTACATGGATATAAATGTGTGTGGAGCCAGACTTAGATCCAGACTGAATGCCCTGCCACACACACATTTCTGGGAGAGTTTGTAGCTGTAAGGCATAGCAGTGGTGTGGTTTACACTGTTTTCCCAGTTGTGTTAGCACAAGCGAACTCGCTGACAAACAAACACAGAAGGCAGGGATGGGGAGCATTGGCAGAAAAATGGTGCTTCTTAGGCCAGCTTCACACAGTACATCCTACAGCTGAGCAATGGGTGCTGCAATCCAGGCTACAGGTCCTTTGTTGGTAGAGGCAACTGAAGGTGTTCCTGGTTTGCACTGATCCCTGATCAATTCCCAGTCATCCCTACTGGTGCAAGTCATTATTCCCTCTTTCATTAGAATAGATCTCTGAGACAGAATGTTGACACGTTCTAAATTATAGAAAGATAGCCAGAAAACAATCTTAAAGAAAGGAAAAAATAATAAAAAAAGGAAATAAAAAGATCCCAGATCCATACAGTGAGATCAGCTTGAGGCAAGAAGCAATAGAAGTGTGGGCTGGCACTCCTGTAATGCCACCAGAAACAGCTCAGTAGCATAGAGCCTGGTGCAGCACTGACTACCCTGCTTTGGGCTAGAATAACATAGTTTTATATCAATCACACTTTCACATGGGGATTCCTGAGCATTTTTTTGGTAGTCAATACAAAATGTAGTCAAACTACAAATATAATAAATATTCCGATTGTTACTCATTATATTAGGTTTTATTTAATCAACAAGAAATGAGGTGTGGCTTTTTTGAAGACGGCTGTGAAGTAGAGGAGATCAGAAATAGATTAAAAAAAAAAAGTAGTAGATTTTTGCAATCCAATCTAAAATCAGATAGGGATTTATGCTATTATTTTGTTGAAAAAAGTTTGCTTGTCTTTTCAGTGCTTATTTATTATTATCTAAAAGCTCCATTTTGAAAATCTACTGTGAGAGCAGCACTTTGAAAAATTAGATCCTCTTCTTAAAGGGCTGGAATATGTCTTCACAAGGAAAGTAATTTCTGTAAATATTGCTTTTAAAATCAATCTTTGCATTCATTTCCATTTTTTAAAATCTCAGGACCTTCAGAATGGTCCAGTAGTTGGAGCCCAATAGTTGTCCCTCCTTTGGGGGCCCAAATTACTAGATCCTTTAAGACCTGCTTGCAAACAAGCAGTTATTTCATTAACAGACTTGTAAAACAAGTCTATTGAAACTTTTATTCAACACTCCTGCAGCCTCATAGTTGCCATGGGAAGACAAGAAGTAAAAATAATGTTATAAATCAATGCTAAATACTTTAGCAAAAAATATGTTTGTTCTTAGCAAAAATTTGTTCTTAGCAAAAATTTAATGTACAAATTATCACAGTGATTTAGACCGAAAAGACAAAAAAAAAAAAAACCCTAACCCCAAACCAAACGGTGGCTTTTGCGCAATCCAGCAGATGGCGCTATGATGCAATAAACTGACCCAAGAGCCCAAGAAAAGTGAACATTTTTTTCCATTACCTGGTGCTGCTGCTTTTTTGATGGCTGGATTGGCTGCAGGAGCTTTTGCTGGCTCTTAAAAGAAAAAAAAACAAACACAAACAAACAAACAACAAATTAAACCAATTATTACAAAGTATTATATCTTTAAAAAAATAGGGAAATCTCAGGAAAGGCTTCCAATGAGGTACAACTTGTAGCAATTTTTTCACTGTAAAATTAAACAAAGAGATTACCCAAAGGGTGAAGAGCTGAGTTGTCTTCAATAAACTCAAAGGCAACAATAAAATAACCTTACTAGCTGAAGGGCTAATAAGCTCTGGCTGTTAGACACTGAATTGCTTATTTTAGCTTTTTCTGCCTAGTGATTCAATATGTATTGGCAAAGCAGAGGAAAGGAGGTATGTAGGGGTTCCAGCATGGCCTTGCCCCTCAGGAAGCATCTGTGTGCTGAGAGACTCTGCATTTGATCTTGCAGCTATGAGAGCAGAAGGTCCTGAACAAGCCTATATCAGATGGTGAGGATTCATTCCTGTGAATTCAGCAGTGGTGCTTCAGGGGATCTCACAGCCATTCAGTGCCATCCTTTACCCTTATCTGAATCTCTCCTTGATTAGAAAAGGTGAAATTGGGCTACTTCTGCAAAGTACATCCATAGACTTGGTTACACCAGGAATCTCTCTCCATCCTGAGGAATGGAGGAGCATTAGGAGAAGACCTCCATGTTTGATCCTGCACTTGAAAGAGCAACGGCTTTATTCTCCTAGCACAGAAACAGGCCCTCACAATCTAATTCTGTTCCTGATCTTTTCAGTGCACTTGCATTATACTCTCTTTGCTGGTAGAACCTGTCCTTGCAGAATGGAGGTCCACATGAAGGGTATATGCCAAATCATATGTTCCCCTAAATGATTTTGGGGAATCTCAACCCTAGAGAGAAGAATCTAAGTAGTTCACTAGATTTATTTGCTCTTTACTAGTGTTTAGTTAATTGCTTTTATTCTCAGGAACTGCCAAAACAGACTGTACTTAAACCATAATAATTTAATGAATTCTCAATGACACCAACTGTCATAAAGGATTTTTGTGTATCAACTAGAAGGTCCTATAAATTCAAATTCACATTTCTGTATTTTGAGAGGAAATAGCTAATCATTTTAATCACAAATCAAGTTGCAGATTAACAAAGAAATGTTAGTTAATCCTTCATATCTGCCACTATGTTATTACAAAGAAAAAGAACATGGCTAAATCAGGAATATAATTTTGAGTTCTTCCCTCTAGTCTTTTGAGAAGTTCATAAAAGATGCATAGTCTGTCTTGTGAAACAGAATGAAAACAAAATATACTTCGAGTGCGTGGGATTGTTTTGTTTCCATCCATTTAAAACCCCACAGTAAATAATTATATCCTAATTTAGTTATTATCACAGCATTGTAATTACTTGGGGTGGTCACACCTTCTCCAGGGAAATATGTAGAAGACCTTGAAGAAGAATTTACTTAGTATTACTTTCCTAAGAGCCAATTCTGGCAGAAGGAAGAGATCCAACTTGCATGTTCTACAAGTGTCAAGATGGATTTAATACAAAATTACAGGACTCTTGCAAGTCCTTTCTGAGCTCTGAGCTAGAGCATGGTGGACAGTGAGACTTTTTTTTACTTTTTGTTAACATCCATGAAAAGAAACTAAGTTAAGATTCTTTTTGTTCTACAAAGATTTTTCTTTTCATTAAAATATTTAAATTTTGAGCAACTGAAATAATTATGATTGGGGAAAAAATAAAATGAAGGGTATGTTTTGTCAGAAATACCTGTAATTTATTTAATTTTAAAATAAATTTTCAGTAGCACTGAAACAAAACTAACTAATGTTTTAAACTTTCTTTTGCAAGCATATGCTTTTCAGTTTGTAATTCACAAATTACTTAAGTACTAAGGACTCTACATATTTATGAACTAGTTTCAGCTGCAAATTTCGTGATGGAGCTGGGAAGTTTTGCTGTGACAGCTGCTGGGGAATTCTCCCATTAAAAGCATCATAAAATGGTTTGGTTTGGAAGGCACATCTAGTGGGCATTAAAGACCATCGAGTTTCAGCCCCCTTGCCACTGGCAGAGACACCTTCCATTAGACCAAATTGCTCCAAGCCCCATCCAACCTGGCCTCAAACATTTCTAGGGATGAGGCATCTACAATCCCTCTGGGCAACCTTTCCCAGTGCTTCACAGCAAGATACAACAGAGATAAACAATAGAGAGTTTGTTCCTAATGTCTAATTAAAACCCTCCCTATTTCAATTTAAAGTCAATAGTCCTTGTCCCTTCACTGTACACCTTTGTGAAAAGTCCCTCTCCAGCTCTCCTGTAGGCCACCTTTGGGGGCCCAAATTAATAGATCTTTTACGACCTACTTGCAAACAGGCAGTTATTTCACTAACAGGCCATTACTTGTAAAATAAGTCTATTGAAACTTTTATTCAATATTCCTGAAAAATTTGAGTAAGAAGTAAATGTATAAGATTTTGTTGATTGTGAAAAGAAATATTTTAATAAATTGCTGCAAATCAGAGGATGGCAGGAGATTAATCTGCCATACATGTCAGGAAAGATCATACATGGAAAGTCAGTGCATTCTTTAATCATGAATTTGAATGAGATTTTGAAGCCTCATAGTTTTCCTAATTTTTCCTGTATACTGTACTTTCAGAACAGAGAGCTGAGCAGATGAAGTCTTACCAGAGAAACTGTCTTACTATCCTTACTATGCTGAGGTATTGATGCTTGCAAATTTCTAGAAAAGGAAAATGTAAGTTAACGATATCACATTCTCAGAGCATTTTGTGGTTGTTTTTGCAGAACAGCCCAACTCCCATCTCTCTTCAGAAGTCTCTCAAAAGTCTGTGTTGAAATCAGAAGTAACTAGGTAGGCAGAACCTTGTGCATTTGTGAAGATAAATTTGGTGGTCTTCAGCATGTTGAACTCTCAGCCTTTTCAGCTCATTTATGAAAATTGCTGCCACTGAGAGCATTTTTTGCTGACACTTCAAGTTGACGTTTCCTTTCCTAGGAAACTTTTGGTTTTTAAGACAGTGATAGGGAAGAGGGGAAGGCAAAACTGTCAGTCACAAAGAGGAGTGCTGAATTAAAAGTAGGATAAGAATGGATTTAGAAAATAAGAGGCAGCTGAAGTTTAAACATATCAGTTTTCAATTATAAATGGTGTAACTGCTTTTTTTGTATTTTCAACAATTCATTAACTATTATTTTTGGATTATTGAAATGTACTCTTTGAAATAGCATGGCATATAAAAGAGACAGTAGTTTCTTACTTTTGAGTTCTTTGGACACATCAGCTTCTTTTTTATCTGTAAGATAAAACAAACAAAACAAAAAACACATATGCATGAAACATAGAAAAGATATAGACAGATAGAAAACTGCAGCATGTACTTTAAAGGTGAAACAGCTTATTTACTGCAAAGAGCATTTGAATGATACAATGACTCAATTCAGTTCAGTTTCTTTCATGGTACAGTTACACTAATTTAACCCTAACTGTAAATACAGCAAAACCTATGATAGTATGAAAAATTTTGTTTATTTTCTGTATAGCAATCCCTGAGATTTGACATGTGGTTGAGTTATTGTGGTTTACATGTACTGGCTGAGCTATAGTTACTCACCATGTGCGCATTGTTAAGATGTGTAAATGCAAGGGAAGATGTGCTAGGAGACTAAGTATAGAGATGTACTGAAAGGCACTCTTTTCTTACAGATCTTACAATCATACAACTGAGATGTAGTTTAGAAGGCTTCCAACCTAACACCTTTGGAACCTGGAGAAACTCAGCCAGTCTTACATATGGACCATGTAAAAGTAGACAAAATCTGTCCCTGGTTGATTTAAATAAAATTTAAATGACTTAGATATATCAAAATGCATCATGGCCAGGAAGTTTACCATAATGACTTAACTAGGCTGTTCAGTCTCTCTTCACTTAAGGTAGCATTTTTGTGACAATTTTTGTAGGACTTTTTTTCATATGGTTGAGAGATTTGGAATCCTTACTAAGGAGATATAAGTGGGCAGAAATGCTCAGCGATAGCTTCTCCACTACAATTTTTTTTGCTACCTTGGGGCTTTTAAATGGGTACACAAATCATCCATTTTTAGGAACATACTTGGAGTCTCACATACCTTTTTCACTAGTCTCACTCTTACAACTAAGAAATGGTCCATGGAGATCCTGTGAGACAGGAGCAAAGGGGTGCATAGAGCAGTGGTAGAAGTTAGTCCCCTGGGCGGCTATGAGGAAATTAACATCCTCTCTAATAATCTACAGTGAGTCTGAGATATAGGCAGGACAATGCTTATGCCCACAGCATATATGAAGGACAAATGAATTGTGCTCTTAAATACTAACATAAGAAATACTTTCAGGGCAGAAACTGCCAAATTAGGTTGCCTGCAAACCCAGGACTATCCCATTACTGCTAAAAATAGGAAGTTGTTTCAGTTTCTGTTGCTTCCTAAATTGCCATGAAGAAGTTGATATGAGATAAGGTAATGCAAATGACTGTGAAGTAGTCTAATAAAAAATCTTGAAAAATTTGGAGGAAAATACATTTCTACTCGGGTGAGATGCTGTTCTGAACTGAAATGTTTCTAGGTTAATCCTCTACTTCCCCTAACTCTCTGTGAAAGCATGTTTTGCAGGCATAACTTCAAAGTATGATAATTACCACATTTAGATGAAATTAATCATGAGGTAGCTTTTAGCCACGTTATCTGGCTAAGGAGCCTACTGAAACCTTCAAGAAGTGCCTATTAGTTGCCAGATATGGAAATTTTGAAAGGTATATGTTGCAGTGATATGAATCATTTATCAAAATAATCTTCTATTGCTGGAGGTTATAAAAAATAAATAAATTGACAGCATCATTTACAATAACAGACTGGATCTAAATAAAGCCCTCAGGTTCTTTATTTCCTTTTTTCATATAAGCTATCATTTATTAGGACAACATACTTCCATATATTTTAAACCCATAATTTATGTTCAAAGAATCAGTGTGTTTTCCCATCATCTGAAATACATAACATATAGTAAATGCTGAGTAAAAAGCTGGACAATTTTTTCCAGTAAGAAAATCTTATAATTTGGGGGGTTTGGTGTATTTTTGTTTTGTTTTTAAAGTGCGGAAAAATTACCAAAAACTTATTCCAATAGCACATATTTGTATGAAAATGTAAATGTTCTTACACTTACAACACTTCTTTTCAAACTGAGGTGCCTAACATCTGATTTCTAAAGCTATATTTAACCAAATAGGCTGCAATGATTTACAGAGGAAGTTTCGTAGGATCCTGAGTGGTAGAGGTTCCTTTAAAGGTATATAGTATTTACATCTGTGCACCTCATACTTGAATGAAATAAATTACCTAGCTGCAAAGAAATGAACAATTGATAGATCTTACAGAAGGAGGGAAAACTGATTAGAACTTCTGAAGTTCCTAAATGTAGTTACCTGTTATAAGGCAACAATATCACATAACTAAACAACTCAAAGGAAAACAGTACCAAAAACGAATTGAGCAGTGAGTTAATTTGTGCAATTTAAGATAATGAGCATTTTGTCTCATTCATTTTCGCTTTGCACAGGTTTAGGGTTTAACTTTTGAACTATGGGAGTGTGCTTGGGGAATGTAGCTTACACTACATTAGGTTTTAATATTTATTATGTCTTTTTCTTAAAAACAACAATAAACTCACTGGCCTCTTGGTGGGTCTGATTTTTCATGTTACTTAAGAAGATGGTTTTCCAGACCAAATTAACTTTTATTCAAGCACTAGTATTGGACAACCTATGAACATTATCCTAAACACATCAACCTAGAAATACCAATCAACCTAGAAAGTATAATCTGCAGACCTCTAGGTAATTTCCTCTTTAAAACTTTACATCTGAAGCCTGGTACAGGAAAGGCAAATGCATGACATGAGAATGATTATTACACTTTTCAGAAGCCATGTAATTTCATTAGGACCTGTATAACATCCGAACATCAGTCTAAGTGCCCTAGCAGCCTTGACCACTAGTAAGGTCAAAAGTATTGTGATTATCCTTGGTATTGGTGACAGAACTATTTGATATCCAACAATAGGGCAGGGCATGCATTTTATTTTCAGGAAAAGCCACATTTATACTACAATATAAAACAATAAAAACCCCCAACCCATTAGTAGACTTACAATAGGAGATAAGGCCTTCAAAATCTGATGCTTTTGATAATTTGGTGCCCAAACTGAAGCAGTCATTTTTTCAGAAGTTTTTGAGAACACGTTTGATATTCAGGTCTTCTTAAAGGGTTTATGTAAATCACAAAAATATTGTGCAGTCCAAAATTTTGGGTACCTCTTGGAACCCTAGCCATTACCTTTTCTTGAAAGAACATGTAACAGACTTTAAAAGGCTAAGCACCATAGCTGATAAAATAATCTTTCAGCTGTGGAGTACTCTGAAGCACCTTTTTCTTTTTACAGTTATTCTATGGAGGTGTTTGAAGACAGTTGTATTCTGGTCTATATTCTCAAGAAGCAACCATGTTTGTACAATCTCTACTCTTCTCAGGCGAATGAACAGGTTTTTCTTTTATTGACTCTTGCGAAGACTAAACTACAACAATACTTAAAAAAATATTTTATTAAAAACCACCAAATATTTAAACAATATGATCTGACTTTGTTCTTATCTGTACAGGCTAAAAGGATCAATTTTGAATTCAAACTAAGAATGAGCATTTGGCAGGCAGCACAGATGTATCTCAGCAGAACAGCAAAGCAGTATTTTATTTTTTTGCGTCTTTTTAGCACATAGCTCAATCTTTTCCTCAGGCCTTGTTCAAAATTCTTTTGAAGTAAACTAGCAGTACACAGTAACTGCAAGTGATATCTAAACTACACATGGGACAAGAAAAAAAATATCTCCAAGCTTATATAGTGCCTTTCATGCCAGTGAGTCCCTAGGAGGTTGGTAATAAGCTATTAGACAAGAATGCCCCAGTACTCTGGTACAGAGTATGGTTATTTGAGTTTAAACAAACTGCCAAAATGGAACATTTCAAACACTTCTCTGAAGTGAATTCCAGATCTGGGGTTCACAAAACTTTTACACCCCTTTTAGCAACAGATTTATAATACAGTGTACATTGTACATTTCATTACAGGAGATCTTCAGCAGCTCCATACAACCTATATTTTTAATATCTAAAAGGAAGTTCTCGAAATAAATGGGTCTCAAATCGCACTTTCTTGACAGGCTTCTCTGTGCCTTTTCCTTCTAAAAATCTCTCAAACACATATAAGGGTATTAAAAATTAAATTAACAGTATTATTCAGATAAGTGAATATTTCAGAGACAGTATATTGATAGCTCAGATAATGATACACTGTTTAAAATAGCTGGCTAAACCCCCTCTTACTATTGGAAGTATTATTGTTTATGTTGTATCTAAACCAACCTTTTTACCTGGAAGCTTCCCAAAGAACATGACAGTAATAACAAATTTACAAACAGAAATTCATTTCAACATCAGTGGGAAATCACAGTGTCCAAACTGAATGGTAGCTAATATCCTAATCAAACATAGTGTAACTGAATAGATTCCTCAGTGGATGATCTGGACTAAGTACCAACACCTTAGAGAATTACTAGATGCCTCTGAAAGACATGGTTCACTGAATCAAAAACTAAAGAGAAATTTAAAATGTTAAAGGAGTTACTAAGGGAGAAATTTTCACCCTAAGCCTCAGCTAACACTTTTTACTTTCTCTGTCTTTAGTTGATGATCATGTGCTAGAATGGACTTAATCAAACACCACTGACTGGCTAATGGGTCTACATGTACCCATAGAAAGTAAGTTGTGTAAAGAAGATGCCTCACACAATGTGACCACAGCTCTCAAAGAAGAATGTTCCTAATAAGAGTCACACAAAGCTATGCAACATTGCTTGGTTCTTACTCTTTATTTTGCCTTAGGTATTCCATTCATCTTGTGATTAAAAGTGGGAGAAGAAAAAGAGAGGAGGGAAGAAAAATGAACAGAAACTTCAAGAATCAGAGAGAATTGTGTTTTTTCCAGTATCATTAAGTTTTTCCAGTATCTCAAAATCAAAATTGTGTTGATTTTCAAAAAGAAAAATAAATAATAAAAAATAATAATAATTAAAAAAAAAGGCTCCTGGCTGTCATTACTGAGCAAAGCAAAATCGAGTGCCAGCTTCAGGAGCTTGATTCTGGCTTTGCAAGTGCAATACAATAGCAGAGCTTTTATGACACCACACCCTGCAGGTATGACAGCTA